ATTCCTGAGTGGTCAGGGGAGGTGATGTTTTTGTCTAAATGCCTATCTCACCAAGCGGGAACGCCTGGTCCTGGGAAGCAGAGAGGCTGCAACAGTGTATTATTCTTTGTGACTCACAGTGCTAAAACAGGAGAGTAAGAAACCTCTTTGGTCCTGTTCTTTCTCTCTTCCCAGTTTGATTGAGAGCCCAGAAAGCTGATCTGTGGCATAAATGATGGATGAGGTCAGACTTTAGTTTGCAGGAAGAAAGAGGGCGGGGGCAGACAGCCGGGTTATACCAACAATCTGCTAGCCATCCTGACGTCATCTCTGTTGTCCTTTTTTCCCCCCTTATTCTCCCTAGGGAAAAAAAATATGAAGATATTTTCTGGTGATGGAGCAGGGTGGAGGAAGAGTCGGGAATGCAGTCATTTGCACTACTGGCCTAGTCAGAGTAGCCTTCAAATTTTTGCTTCTGGAGAGCGGTCGTCATAGCAACCCCTGGACTCAAGGAGCAGTACCCCTTTCAGCCTTTGCCTGGAGTACAAAGTCCTTGTTCAGGTTCTCACAGGCTGCTGAGAGAACACACCCAGCCAGATAGATAGAGACACAGATAGGCAGGCTCTCACGTATATTTAAAAACATTTAAAATCTTATGTCAAGACGCAAGCTCCTTCCTACAGTTTTTAATGATTCAGTTAACTGCAACCTTACCTGTCAGCTCCTCATGTTTCTCCTCCATCTGTGGGAAAAGTGGATTCTCTGATGCTGGTAGGAGACAGCCTTCCAGGGAGACCACAGCACTGCGAGAGCCTTTATGTGCATGTTTATGCATCCTTGAAACATGGCACTTACCACATGTATGGTTCCTAATCAGAGTGAGGGGACTTCTCCTGGAAGGGGCAGGTGGGGAGCACGGCCCAGTGGGTTGAGAGGACTGAGTGTAGGGGTGTGGCAGAGAGTGCTTTGTGGCTTCCCAGCTGTTGTTGTCAAACCTGCTGCTGACAGGAGCCAGCCTGCCCTTTCCTTGGGGACCCAGACCCCATACACTCAGACAGGAAAGAAACCAAGGGCTCTTTAGTCAAAGTGCCTGCCGTGGCAATCCAAAACTCCAGGCGGAAAATGAAAGCTTTCCCGATTGAAACACAAGGGCAAACTCATCAAGAGCACCTGCTGGCAGCTCAACTCGGGTTTCTTCTCTGCACCTGGCTCCAGGCCAGAGCCGGGAGGAAGCTCTGAAGAGCCCTCATCCCTCAGTCTCAGCTTCTCCCAGTCCCTGTTCTAGACCACAGATTGCAGAGAACACCTCAGGGTACAAACCCCAGGAAGGTGAGCTGGAAGGGCCAGGTGAAGAAATAAGTGCAGAGAGATTAAGTGACTCATCCATAGATGCAGAGCCAGCCCATAGCAGAGCCCAGACTGAAACCCAGGACTCCTGGAGGCTAAGTAGATCAAGAGGATCACAGCAATTGCTCAAGGAAAAGGAAAATGCTAGAATGCACAGGGACCAACTGAGACATGGGAAACCAGGCACCAAGACCCACTGGAATCTAATGAGATTAATTTTAGAGTAATAATGTAATACTGACCGTACTTTATTGTGAATATACACTGTGCCAGGCACTCTACTGCATACTGCACATACATTATTTTGCTGTGACAAGGATGGTTATCCCCATTTAACAGATGGAGAAACTAAGGTTGGAAGAATATGAGTAACTTATCCAAGACAACATGAATACTAAGGGGAAATGCCAAGATTATCCCCAGCCCTTCTGCCCCCAAAGTTCAGGCCTGACTTGTTATGACACTGACTTTCTTCAAAAGGAGGACCGTGGTTCATGCCTGTAATCCCGGCACTTTGGGAGGCCAAGGTGGGTGAATCTTTTGAGCCCAGCAGTTTGAGACCAGCCAGGGCAACACAGAAAAACCCTGTCTCTACAAAAAAATACAAAAAATAAATAGATGTGATGGCTCATGCCTGTAGTCCCAGCTTCTCAGGAGGCTGAGGTGGGAGGATCACTCAAGCCTCGGAGTTGGAGGCTACAGTAAGTCATGATCGTGCCACTGCACTCCAGTTTGGGCCACAGAGTGAGACCTGTCTCAGAAGAAGAAAAAAAAAAGGAGGGACAATGAGCTGAATGTCCTCATTGATCTCATTTCTTTTAGGTGGCTATATGTTCAGGCCCTAGACTAAGACATCTTCTGAAAGTTAAGGCAAAAAGTGTAATCCTCTCTGAGATAAATCAATTCATGAATGGGCTGGTGGGGTTACATGTGGGTGGTAGAGATGCTTTTGGGGTCGGGCTTGGGCTTTTTGTGTGTGTTTGCCGTGTTGAACACCAAGTCTCTGTGTCATGCCATTTGACATTTGACATAGAACCAGGATCCTCCTAGAAGGCCAGGCCAACAAAACAGGGTCTATTTCTTCTAAACATTAGAAACCAAAAGATTTAGTAAAATTGGTCAGATATTGATGCTGCACTCTGAGATCCATCTGAACACTCGAAGGGCTGGATCCAGAATGTCTAATTAGTAAGCAGATGTAGAGGAAAATCCAAGAATCTTCCCAGGGAACAGGGCTGTGTTAATTCACTCCTAGGAGTCCCTACCTATTACCCTCAGAACAAACCCTTGGCTTGCTCACTGCCTGGATGAGAAATAATGCAGGCGTTTCAGAGCAAGAAGGAAGTTATTTGTTCCTCATGTTCACTCCGAAGTCAAGGATAGGAATGCTAGCTTTGGAGTTGGGAGGACCTCAGTTCAGTTCCCAGCCGGAACTTAAGTCTTGCTCTGCATTATAAAACAAGTGTTTTATTTTCACTTCACCACATGATTAAAATGAGGGACACCCAGGGCCGCTCCAGAGCACATTTGCAGGGTAGTCTACACAGCAGCTCTGCCAAATCGCCACAGCAGACAGTGGTGTGAGGTCCACCCAGCAAAGCTCCCTTTCTGTCCCCATTCTCCATTCCGTTCCAGCTCAATGCAGGAACTGTATATAATGCCAGGCCCTATGCTGGATGCTAGGAATAGAGAGACAATGAAGTCAAGATTCCTGCTGCCCAGAGACTTCCCCTCTAATAAGAGAGACACAGGCAAGTCAACATAATCGGAGTGAGGTCTGAGGCACACCATTAGAGGTACATAGTGGAATGGAAATAGTACAGAGGAATGTGAAATTAATTGTCTTGGGGGGGGGGGTAAAAAGACTTGCCAAGCAGTGATGCACAAACCAAGATCCGGGGATGAAGAGGAACAGTGAAAATGATAGAGCGAGCGAGGAGAAGAGCACAAAGAAAGGCACAGAGTTCAAACTGGAGGATCCCTGGGCTCTGGAAGGAATTTGGCTACTCACTTGTTATGTCACCCGCACAGCTCACCAACTTGGACATCTGTAGGAACAGCTCCTCTCACCTGCTCCTTGCGAGCACCTCCATGGGTCTCTGACCCCCTTGGCTTAGGCCTCCCACTCCTAATTCTGGCCTCCAGGCCCTTGGCCCCAGTAACATGTTTTGGATTCATTTCCCTGGCCTTGACCTTCTGGACTCTTTTGTGAATGAGAGACACTCTTCCTTTCGCCCTGCTCTGTGATGTCTCACAGGCCAGGCCAGCCCAGCTTCCCCAACAGCAACCAGTTGCATACAAGGGTCATACAGGAATTATGTCTCATGGAGCTAGACTATCACACGTGAGTGGCAGTAGATGTGGTTCCAGAAGCAGACAGGACACCAGTCCAATTCCAGCTAAAAAGTCCAGTAGACATGGGGAGCCACTGAAGGGCCTGGTGCTGGGGACTGGCAAATTCTGAGGTGCCTTCCCAGGAGCTATTCCAGAGGGAACAGAGTGGTTGTGTTGGAGAGAGAAGCATTATAAACAAAGGAAAAAGAATGCATGGAAGGTCATTGCATTAGTCTCAGCAAGACTTGAGTAGGAGACAAAGTCAGGTTTCCCTGCCTTCTGGGGCTGGTACAACCACGGACCTCCCCGAAAGCAGGGGCAGGACAGACTTGAGGTCCCTCTGGCTTTCTTTCATGATTCTGATTCTTATCATTGAAAGCTGCCTCCTACCACATCACTATTATCATTTCTCCCCAGATCCTCTATGTCTTCCCTCTCTTACTCCTCCTCCTCCTTTTCCTCCCTCTCTCTTCTTTCTCTCTCCCTCCCCCATCCCTGCTTCTTCTTTCTCCTCACCATCCTTCATCTTCTTTCTCTCTCTCCCTAAAGCAACGTGCCTTGCCTCCTGCCTCTAGCCTAGGCTGTCAGACAAGACAAAATGGAAAAGTAAGACAGAAAAGGAAGTCTGAATTATAAAAAGCTGGCTAAAGAGCAATCAGCACGTGTCTGATAGAGGCAGACATGACAGGGGGAGCTTGGCCTTGCCACTGTCAATCAGAGGCTACTGAGTAAGGAAACCCAACAAAGGTTTGGGCCTTCATGAATCTGGAAACCCTGGGGTGCTCAACAAAAAAGCAACTTTTGTCATGGATTTTGTCACCTAGGATCCTGGAGGAGGAAATCACAGCTCTCCCCAGCGATCCTGCCAGGGAGATGGTGGGAAATAGAGGTCCATTGAGTAGCACTCACAGGCTCATGTTCCGGCTTCCCTTGTGACCACCTGCCACCCTCAGTGTGGCTGAGAACCATCTTCAGTGACTCTCCACAAGTCACAGCAACCTGTTTACAGACAGCTAGAATTCCCAGGCACTTTTAGGACAGGGGACTCGGGATGGTTCCAAGCAGACAGCAAAGTCTTCTCTAAGAGAAGCCACTCCTCCCAATCTATTTTTGCCGATGTAAACACTTGCCAAGGAAACAAGGCATGTGGGCATGCGCGGGACCTGCAGGCCCTGAGGTTGCTGCAAAAGGCAACTGGAAAGTCACATGTCATAACAGTGGAAAGTACATATGCAACTATTCTTAGCCCTGGAATGTATACACTGTCTCCCTGCCCAGCAGTCCTTGCACAAAGCTCTAGAAAACTATGAAAGTGCCTTCAGCATAAACAAATCCAGAAACCTCCCAGGACAAAGCATTTGCCAACTGAAGGAAAGGCCTGGGGTTTATGGTTTCTCTCAGAGCTAAAGGCAGAAACTCTCCAGGGGGACAAGCCAGACCAGGCAACAGTGCATGTCACTGCAGCAAAACGAGGTGAGTATCCCTCATACTTCTTTCTTTGGCAGGTAGACAGCCAGGTGTCATCCAGTAAACCAGGGGATTGTTTGGTCCCTCTTTCTATTTGTTCCACCTTTAAAACAAGGCTCAATGAAGTCATATTTAAATATATATATATATCAAAGGTCCATTTTCTTCCCTCATTTCTGTCCAGTTAACAGAGGGCCACACCTCCAGAGTGTCATTCTTGGGGAAATGAATGACACTCAGAAAGAGATGTTTAGACAAGTTTACTCCATAATAGATAAGCTGCCAATAAAAAAAGGATATTTTCATTGGGAAAAAGGTTCATGAACTTCTGCTGTTCAAATGTATGGACTGTTATCTTGCTTCAGACTAGCATTTCAGCTTCTGATAACAGAGTAACTTCCAACAACTTTAGTTTGTTTGGTTGTTTCTCTCAGATTAGCTGAAGATACTGTTTGCCCATTACCTTTGAAAATAACCATAGAAAATAACCAAAAAGAGCTCAGGTATGAGATATGCGTGGCCTTCCTTTCCAGTCTTCCCTACACAATGTTCATGGTGAAATTTACAAACATGATGGGGAGCGGACACAGAAGCACCGGGTCTTGGAAGCCCTGCAGTTGAACCCTCCAGCACATACCGCTAAGAAAGTCTTGACCTGCCGACTCTGGAGGCTTCCTTCTCTCTTTGTAGGATGGACAAGGAGTCACTGGATGGGCTGCTCTTCAAAGACCATGACTTCTCTTCTGATTTGTTGAGGCAGCTCAACAGCTTAAGGCATAGCAGGATTCTGACTGACGTGATCATCTGTGCCGGTGCCTGGGAGATCCCCTGCCACCGCAACGTGCTGGCCTCCAGCAGCCCCTACTTCAGGGCTATGTTCTGCAGCAGCTTCCGGGAGAAGAGTGAATCCAAAGTGCAGCTGAAAGGTATTGACTCCCCAACCCTGGACCAGATTGTCTCCTACGTGTACACGGGGGAAGTGCGCATCACTGCGGACAATGTCCTCCACATGATGGAGGCCGCCTCCATGCTACAGTTCCCAAAGCTGTTTGAGGCCTGCTCCTCATACTTGCAGAGCCAGCTGGCCCCCAGCAACTGCCTGGGCATGATCAGACTCTCAGAAATCTTAAGCTGCGAGACCCTCAAAAAGAAAGCCAGGGAAGTGGCACTGACATCCTTCCCAGAGGTGGCCACATCGGCTGACCTGAAGGAGCTCTGTGCCTTGGAGTTGAGAGACTATCTCGGAGATGATGGGCTCTGTGGGGAGGAGGAAAAGGTGTTTGAGGCTCTCATGGTTTGGATTAAGCATGACCTCCAGGCCCGGAAGCGGTACATGCAGGAACTGTTCAAGCAGGTCAGGCTGCAGTATATCCACCCGGCCTTCTTCCACCACTTCATCGCCAATGATGCCCTCCTGCAGTCATCACCTGCATGCCAGATCATCTTGGAGACTGCCAAGAGACAGATGTTCTCTTTGTGTGGCACTAATGCCCCAGACTGCAAACCCCTGTTGCATGTCCCTCCAAGAAACTCTTACCAAGATTTCCTCATCCTCTTGGGTGGAAGGAAGGACAGCCAGCAGACCACCAGGGATGTCTTACTGTACAGCAGACAGACCGGCCAATGGCAGAGCCTTGCCAAACTCCCGACCCGGCTGTACAAGGCCTCTGCCGTCACCTTGCACCGCAGCATCTACGTGCTGGGGGGCATGGCTGTCAGCTCAGGGAGGAGTCTGGTCAGTCACAATGTCTACATCTTCTCCCTGAAACTCAATCAGTGGAGGTTGGGGGAGCCCATGCTGGTGGCCCGCTACTCCCACAGAAGCACCACCCATAAGAACTTCATCTTCTCCATCGGGGGGACTGGAGAAGGGCAGGAGCTCATGGGCTCCATGGAAAGGTATGACAGCATTTGCAATGTCTGGGAGAGTATGGCCAGCATGCCCGTGGGTGTGCTCCACCCTGCAGTCGCTGTGAAAGACCAAAGACTCTATCTCTTTGGAGGAGAGGACATCATGCAGAACCCTGTGCGCCTTATCCAGGTAAAGGGCTTGTTTTGCCTATCACGTAAGTGCATGAGTATATGTGCATGGACACACCCACATCTGCATGCACACACATGCACATGCTTACATATTCACCAACATACATACATACGCACACACATACATATATGCATACATATACACAAATGCATATTCATTCATATGCATGCATAGGTGCACCTACCAACATGCATTTACATATGCAATTCATGCATGCATACACACATTTACATATATCTACACGTACATGCACACATTTATACATATACATGAACACAATATATGCATACATGAAAACATGCACACACGTGTGTACCCATGTACACACAAACACTTGTCATTTGCAAGGAAGGAAGAGAAAGGAGGAAGGAAGAAGAATTTTCAGCAAGATTTTTTCAATTTATAAATTATTTTCGTGCAAGAATAATACATACAAATACCATCCCTATCCACAGAGTTTATCTTCATTTGAGTAGAAAAATATATATCTAAAAATTCAAGCTATTGTAGAACATACTGAATGTCAGATAGTGAAGTCCTGTAGGAATCTGGCAGATATTTCTAACTCAAGTCCATAAGGCCTTAAAAGAAGATTCCCAAGCCTTGGTCCACACCTTTGTGACCACATCTCCTGGAACCTGACCTAAGATCACTGAATCAAAATATCTTTGTGTGACATCCTAAAATGTATGGTTTATAAAAGTCCCCAGGAGATTCTAAGGTGCAGCCAGGTTGGGAAACCCCTACTTTTAATGATCGGCAGACATTAATTTCACTGACGAGCTCTCTGAGAAGTATGATCAATAAAGGCATGTTTCAGAATATTAAGTGTTTTCTAACTTTGTGCAAGTTCCTGGTAATCTCTGCCGTTCATCTAATGATATGAGTCTGCCCACAGATAATGCAGAAGCACCCACATGATGTACTTTGCTCACTTAGGAGAGTTATGTTGAATAGCAACCACTGCGAAGGGCCTGGATACCCAGCAATTTACACATAAGCCTCAGTTGCAATTCAGATGCTGAAGAGAAGGGTGCTCTAAGATCACAGTGGGGGTGCCCTAAACTAGTGTAGAGCAAGTTTACCCAACACGCATGCAGCCCAAGATGGATTTGAATGCAGCCCAACACAAATTCATAAACTTTAAAACACTAAGAGATTTTTTCTTCAGCTCATCAGGTATCATTAGTGTTAGTATGCTTGTAATGTAAGGGATGATCTGACTTAGAGAGAGATGCAGGAAGTTCCTGCACCACCTGAAGCCAGAGTCAGAATTCTCTCTTGAGGGAGGGGGAGTGGTCCTGGGTAAGGGAGCAACTTGTACAAAGGCCCTGAAGCACAAAGAGGTACAGCCCACAGCCTTGGGGAGCCAAAAGCAGGACAATGAAGCTGCAAGACAGAGCAAAGAGGAGAAGGGCAATGTGCTGAGGGGTAGCTGGGGACAGGCGTGAGTCCTTGTATGATCTCCATCAGCCCCCTTCTCAGGCTACCCAGAGCAATCTCCTCCCCTCACATCACAGCCCCTGAGCCCCTCTCAGAAAAATCCTGGAACCTTCTTGAGGGATGGATATTTGTGGGGGTGAGGCTGGCCTGGCTGGGCTTTCTAGGCCTTGTCAAGAAATTGGGATTAGCCTCGTTATAAGTAAAATGTCATTGCCAAAAGAAACAGCGCTTGAAGATAAATCCTCTCAGCAAGGCAGTTTACTTCTATGGAAAGGTGTGCCTCACAGATGGAGCAAAGGTGAGCACACACTTGGGCAAGGGAGGAAAAGGGGTTCTTATTCCTGACGGAGGTTGTCCCCTACTGCTGTGTCGTTTCCCTATTGGCTAGGGTTAGACCACACAGTCTAGGCTAATTGGCTGTTTTAAGGAGCAGGGGTATGAGCCAGAGTGGCAGGGTGGGTGGCTTGGCGGGAAGGATGGTTATGGACAGTTACAGGCAGATCAGAGCAGGTAGCCAGGGGTGACCTAGGTCAAAGCAGGTAACCAGAGCAGGTGACTGGAGCAGGTGACCGGGGCAGGTGACCAAAGCAGGTGATCGGGATGAGTCAGGACGGAGTCGGGCACTGGAGGAACAGATGTGAACTACTGATTAGAACTGGTGGAGAAGGTTGTTTACTCAAACTACAAGGAATTTGAACTTTAAAATGGAGGACAAATAACTGAACACACTGACATACTGATTCCTTGAAGAGAAATTTAGAACTCATTGTATCCAATAGCCTGAAAGGAATAGAACTTCATTGAAGGCTTTTAAGAAAGGTGGACAAGGTAACAAAATTCACATTTTTAGAAGTTCCGTCTGGATGCCTTGTAGGGAAGGGATTGGAAGGGGCCTGAGTGGATGAAGGGGAGAACTGGGAGAATCTTCCAGAGTTCCAGGCAAGGATAGTGATGGCTTGGACCCGGTCAGTTCCAGCAAAGATTTTTTCCTTGCCTTCTCTTCTCCAGCCTGTGTTTTCAGTTCCTCTCTGACCATCTAGGCAGATTCTGAGTCTTTCTAGAATCACTATTCCAAATCCCACTCCTCTACTTGAACTGGGAGAGACCTTCTGGTCCTCTCAAGGCTCTGTCCACACCATATAGATAACAAAGTGCCTCCATGTCAAGCTGGAGCCCCTCCCTTTTTCTATTTTTCAAAATAGGGTCAACAAATATGCTCATTATTTCACATTGCAAAACTATCATCAACCTGAGAATAAAACATGAAGCTTAAGCTTCAAGCTAGCATATCAAGAAATGCATAGTACAATCAAACAGGAAGTTGTCAAGCCAAGAAAATATGAAACCTCTGAGGGATCCTTTTGCATTACAGGATTAAGAAGAGCGAGAAGAGGAAAAGAATTCATTTGGATGCTTTTCTTACCTACTTCGCACTAGCTTTGAAATAGACAGTCTACTCATTCGAATATAGTTTAAAATGAATGCCTGGAGTTGCTTGATGGAGCAGGTTGGATTTTCAGGCACAGGTTGAGAGTTTTCTTCACAGGCTTGTTCATCTGCATGTATGAGTTCTTTTCAGAACTATGCTGCAATGGAATTACTATGCAAATCGTGCTGTATGTGTACGTTTTTACCTGGCCTTCTCTCTACCTGTTTCTGGATGGCATTAAGCAAATCCTTTACTATAACAAAAGTATTTCTTCCTTCACTGGTCAAAAATCATCCTTTGTTATGCTTGCCCCAGCTTCTTTGGGGAATGATGAGCATGATGAAAAAATGTGTAATCTATTTTTAAAGCCATACCCAAAGCTGAAAAACAGAAGGGCCAGGAGGCGATTATTCATTCAAGTAAAATGCAACCAGTGTTTGCTTTCCTTCCAAGGATCTTAGAGAGTTTGTCACTTACGTATTTTCAGATAAAACAGCCATTGTGACCTTCCCTTCCTCTAGTACTTGGCCTCCCCCAGTCTTTGCTGACTTCTTGAAGGACAGACAGAGACCTCAAGAGGTCTCCAATCTCAAAAGCTTCCATCAGGAAAAGCCACAATTTCATGGCTCCAGGCAGAGCCATGACTGTGGTGGTTAAGAGCATGGACTCTGGCCTTGACCAGACCAGCTCCCCAACTCACTGCAGTTGTATGACCCTGGGCATGTCATTTGACCTCTCTGAGCCTCAGTGGTCTAATCTGAAAGATGGAAGCAATAATAATACCTACCTCATAGGATGGTTTTGAAGATCAAATTTAGTAATCTGATTTTTTAAACATTTTTAATAATACTGGTAATCTTATTTTATTTTATTATCTTTTGAGAAGGAGTCTCGTTCTGTCGTTCAGGCTGGAGTGCAGTGGTGTGATCTCAACTCACTGCAACCTCCACTTCCAGGGCTCAAGGGATCCTCCCACCTCAGCCTCCTGAGTAGCTGTAATTACAGGCACGCACCACCACACCCAGCTAATTTTTTTGTATTTTTAGTAGAGATGGAGTTTTACCATGTTGGCCAGACTGGTCTCAATCTCCTAACCTCCATGATCCATCCATCTCAACCTCCCAAAGTGCTGGGTTAAAAGTGTGAGCCACTGTGCCTGCCCTGGTAATTTTATTTTATAGGAAAATATTTTCTAGCCAAGAATACTACGCCTTTTTTCCTCTGTAAACAAATGTTCTTGTTCCTTCTTTTCTTATATGAAATTCATTCTATATCTCTTGAGCTCAATTTTGCCCATAATGAACTAATTTACATTTGATATTTAGATTTAAACTGAGGACACTAACAGGAGAACATGTTTCAGGAATGTTGATTTGATCCACCGTTTCAGAGCATGGTAAAACAGCCTGCTTCCTTCTCTTTGGTCTTTCTCCCCTTTCTCATGCTGCATTTTTCTAGGACTGTAATGACTTTCAGGCATGAACTGTTCAAAAGCCTTCCTCACTTAGCCTCAGATTTATTCTTGGCTCTATGAGCTTCTTGGATAAACCAGAACATTTAGAAATTTAAACATGAGCTAGAAATAAAAAATGATTGGAAAATCATGGGTTTTCTGAATACCCAAGTTTCTTCATTTCTCATTAAAAGAAAAACATGCTCCAAGCAAGGTAAGTAAAACATTTATTATAACGCCAAACTCTTGGTCTATTCTATAGAAATACAACCACTGATCTCCTGGGGTCACATTAAGATCAATTTTTAATAATACACATCTCCCGGTTTTTCAATTCTATTTTGTTTATTACCAATAATCTAGCTACGTTTTTAAAACTGGAGAAAAGTAGAAAGAAAAATCTCACTCCTAGTTCACCCTCTTAATGATTACTTCTGCCTTTTTTTTAAAGAATATTTAACTTTAAAATGCAGTGCCATGATTCTATTTCTCCCTCAGGTCTATCACATTTCCAGAAACTCGTGGTTCAAAATGGAGACAAGAATGATCAAGAACGTGTGTGCCCCTGCAGTGGTGCTTGGGGAGCGGATTGTCATTGTGGGAGGTGAGTCTGAACAGGGGATCGCTGGGTGTGACACAAACTTGGCACCGTCTATGGAAAAAAGGTCACTCATAGACAGATGTTATTCTACAAGATTGTCTTTAAAAGCACATCCAACCAACCAGAGAAGCGTGGAGAATCTGACAAAACTTTTTCCTCATCCAGAAGTTTCTGTCTTTATCTGTAAACAACAGATGAAATAATACCTATCACACAGAGCTGTTGTGATGATTAATGTACTTGTGTATCTAAAGCCCTTAGCTCTATCCCAGACACACAGTAAATAAAACATGTTTGCTTCCGTTAATAATACCAGCTACTAATGGTTTGTTTCTCTGTAATCATAGGATAGTGTCATCGTTAAGAAGACTGGTATTGGGGTCAGATAGACCGGGTTCAGATCCTGGCTCTGTCACTAACTGGCTATATACTCGTTAGCAAGTTAAACATCTTCTGTGCCTCAGTTTGCTCATCCATAAAATGAGGCTCCTAAAAGTACCTACCAGATAAGGTTGTTGTGGGGAACCCACTTCTGAGTTTCCAAAGGCTTGGGATTGTCATAGTTCTTGAGTGGGCATTTGAGAGAGGAAGTTGCCAGGCTGAGAAAGTTACAGGAATCAGGAAGCCGCTCCCAATCTAAGAATGGCTTATGCGCTGCCTTAACTTGGGGTGAAGGTCAGAATCAGACAGATCTGTGTGCCAGTCCCACTCTGCCACAAAGCAGGCCTTGGCAGGCCAGCTCTACACCCCATGCTCTAGTTCAGAGCCCCGGCCTCAGCCTTAGGCAGTGGCAGGGGTCAGACGCGTCCCAGGACCCCTCCAGTCCCAGATGAGCAAGGCTGAGCCTGACCATGTGTCGTTTGGTTTTCAGGTTACACAAGGAGGATTCTTGCTTATGACCCTCAAACCAACAAATTTGTAAAATGTGCGGACATGAAAGACCGGAGGATGCACCACGGGGCCACGGTGATGGGAAACAAGCTCTATGTGACGGGCGGGCGGCGCCTGACCACGGACTGCAACATTGAGGACTCCGCCTCATTTGACTGCTATGACCCTGAGACGGACACCTGGACATCCCAGGGGCAGCTGCCGCACAAGCTCTTTGACCACGCCTGCCTCACTCTCCAGTGCATACCCTGCACATCTGCCCTCCCATGAGGTCAGGAAGAAACCTGCTGTCCTACTCAAGATGCCTTTTGTTGCAAGGGATACAAACCCAGCTCCAAAGGGCTTAACCCTAAGAGGCTGCAGGGAGAGCTCACAAGCCTGAGGTACCAGTCAGGAGGCCTGGAACTTGGCATAGCATTGCCAGAACCCTCTCTCTCCTTCCCTCCCTCTCTCGCTGTCTCTCTCCCCGACCTCCATCTGTCTCCTTTATCAGTCTCTGTGTCTCCCCATTCTCTCGCTCTCTCCTCACCCCATCTCTGTCTTTTTTTTTTTTTTTTTTTTGAGATGAAGTTTCACTCTGTAGCCCAGGCTGGAGTGCAGTAATGCGATCTCAGCTCACTGCAACCCCCACCTTCCAGGTTCGAGAGATTCTCACTCCTCGGCCTCCCAAGTACTGGGATTACAGGTGTGAGCCACCATGCCTGGCATGTCTCCTTTCTGTCTCAGTTTCTCTGTCTCTCTTCTCTCTGAGTCTGTCTCTGTATCCCCCTCTCTGTTTCTCTCTCTCTCTCTCTCTCTCTCTCCCTCCCTCTCTCTCTCTCTCTCTCAGTCTCCCCTCTCTCTTCCTCTCTCTCCTCCCGAGATTTTCCTCTCTTTCTACCTCATCTCTATTAGGCTTCCTTCTCCAGCAAGCTTCTTTATTTACCCACACAGTATGGGGACAATGGCAACTGATAAACCCAGACTCATTTTCTAGCTTTACATCTTCAGGAGACAACTTTGCCATTACCCATATATTAAACCTAAAGAACAATGCTTATGGGCCTTTCTTGAATTCCATGCCTACCCGTTGAGCCAATCACTGTTGCCAGGACTGGCTAGTCCTGGACCATATCCCCACAGACAGAGGTGGGGTTACCTGTTGTGATTGACAGCCATTCCAAACTGTATGTGATGGATTCAAAGCATTTCCCCAAAGGGAGAAATCTAGACAAAAACCACATCTGCCCAGGACACCACTGAAATCTGGAACAAGAGGGCTGAGACCCCAGAGGATTCCTGGACATGCTTGGTCCAGGTGGCAACATGAGAAATTGGCCCTGACCTTGTTTTTCTGCATTATATGGATGTAGTACATCGAAATTCCAGAGACGTCTGCACAATTCAGTATCTAATGTTTGTAAAATTATTCTGCACTGCCAGAATAAAGTTTGTTTCTGGTGCCAAATGATGTTTTTCTGCAGCCTCTGGGGAGCTATAAACCTGCATAATTAATCAGGATGTTCATTTCGGTCAGTGTTATAAGGATTGTTCTTCTGGGGAAAGTCAACAAATTCTCTCAGTGCTTACAGCAGTCATTGCCCTCAGATGCCAAGGCTGACTATCTCTATAGCCCCCGTTATCTGGAGGTGCCTCCCACACTGGCTCAGTCCCAAACTCAGGAATCAGCCGAAGTAGAGAACAGCGCTTCTCGGCACTGCCTGCATAACACCGTCATCTGAAAACGGGGCCAGCCCCATTTGAGAAAAATGACCAGGGATGCTTTGCGGGGTTGGGGGGGGGGCCAGACACTGTATTTTTTGAAAAGCTTCCCAGATGACTGAAATGTGTAGTCAGGGTCGAGAACCACTGCCCTGCCCAGCTGTGGGCATGGAAGACCTCCATGGCTTGTTCCATTCCCCTCCTGTCCTGGGCTAGCCTGTCCAAGCCCAGTGATGTAGGCTAAGTCCTCTCCCCATCAATTCTGCAATCAGTCTCGCTGCCCTGGGCCTGGCACCAGAGTTTACTCCAAGCTGTGGCCTTCCTCCCCATCTGGCTCTCCAGGTTGATGTTCTAGACTTTTCCTTCATTCTAAGTTGTCTTTTGTGTACTTCGGATTCTCCTGCTAGGGTCTGAAGCTCTGCTCTGCTCCCCAGATCACTTGGCTGAGGTCAGAGAGACCCCCTGCCTGGATTGCCAGCCCTGCTCCTCAGCCTGAACACTGTCCCCATAGCTGCTGGCTGGCATCTTGTTCTAACCTAGTGTCTTTGAACTCCCTCTCTTCAGGCTTTCAGTCCCACCTCTGTTAAATCACAGGAGAGCTGATTGTTTAAAAGGGCATGGCACCCCTCCCCTCTCTCTTGCTCCCTCTCATGTGAAATCTGGCTCTCTAATATGGTTTGGCTGTGTCCCCACCCAAATCTCATCTTGAATTGTAGCTCCCATAATTCCCATGTGTTGTGAGAGGAACCTGGTGGGAAATAATTGGATCATGGGTTGGTTTCCCTCATACTGTTCTGAACATAGTAAGTCTCATGAGCTCTGATAGTTTTATAAAGCGTTTCCCTTTGCACTTGGCTCTCACTCTTCCTTGTCTGTCACCATGTAAGACGTGCCTGTCAGTCTTCCGTCCTGATTGTGAGGCCTCCCCAGCCCCCACATGGAACTGTGAGTCTACTAAACCTCTTTTTCTTTATAAATTACCAAGTCTTGGGTGTGTCTTTAACAGCAGCATGAAAAACTCTCCTTTCCCTTCCGCCATGAGTGGAAGCAGCCTGATGCCCTCACCAAAAGCAGATGCTGGTGCCAAGCTTCTTGGACAGCCTTCAGAACCATGAAACAAATAGACCTGTTTTCTTTATAAGTTACCCAGCCTCAGGTATTCCTTCATAGAAGCACAAAATGGACTAACACATCTCCCCTTTCTGTTTTCACACTTGCTGTGCGTTCCCCTGAAAACATTAGCCCCACACATCATACCCACATGGTTCACTCCCTCAATCACCCCAGGTCTCTGCTTAAAGGTACCTTCCTTCCCTGACCACCCACCCTTCATGCAATCCATCAACAGGTCCTGTCTGCAACACCCCTAGGAAATAGATCACAAACACCTCCAGTTTCTGCATCTTCACTGGTACTTCTCCAAGTCAAGCCATCCTCATCTGATCAGTCTTCAAAAGGTGCCCCCTGCTTCCACTCCTGCCCCATTAGCCTTCCTTGAACAATATCCAGAGTGATCTTTTAAAACACGGACCTGATCATGTTACTCCTGCTTAAAATGATTCCATGGCTTCCCAGAGACCTTTGCATAAAGCCCCCAGTCCTTTATGTAGCTTCTAATGCATTCCCAAATCCAGCCCCCACCTATCTCTCTGGCCTCACCTTTTGCCACCCTCATTCCTTGAGGTTGTCTCAGTTCCAACCATCCTTTTCTTTTTTCTTTTCTTTGAGACAGTCTGGCCCTGTCACTCAGGCTGGAGTGCAATGGCACGATCTCACCTCACTGCAACCTCCGCCTCTCGGGTTCAAGCAATTATCTGTCTTATCCTCCCGAGTAGCTGGGATTACAGGTACGTGCCACCATGCCTGGCTAATTTTTTGTATCTTTGTTAGAAACAGGGTTTCACTATGTTGGCCAGGCTTGTCTCAAACTCCTGACCTCATGATCCACTAGCCTCGGCCTCCCAAAGTGCTGGGATTACAGGTGTGAGTCACTGCTCCTGGCCCCGCCATCATTCTTTACTTTACATCCTCCTGTCTTGCCTCATGGCAAGTTGCCACTGAGTTTGCACGTCCAGTTGACACTACCTGAAACACACCTCTCTTATCTCTTCACCCTACTTTTGACATACACCTTACACACCAGATTAAAAGTCACTGCATCAAGCGTGCCTTCCATGCTTCCCCCACTCCAGCTTGGGTCAGCTCTCCTATTAAATGCCCCTATTATTCCCTATTCTTTTTTTTTTTTTTTCCAGATGGAGTCTTGCTCTTGCTGCCCAGGCTGGAGTGCAATGGTGCGACCTTGGCTTACTGCAACCTCCACCTCCTGGGTTCAAGCAATTCTTCTGCCTCAGCCTCCCAAGGAGCTGGGATTAGAGGCATGCACTACCACACCCAGCTAATTGTTTATTTTTTGTAAAGATGACCCGTCTCAGTCTCACAAAGTGCTGGGTTTACAGGCATGAGCCACTGTGCCCCGCCCCCTATTCTTCTCCTGTGAGACTCTTAAGCTATTCGTAATAATTTGATCACTATCTTCCCCTCTAGACTTCTTACTCTGTCCTGTTCTGCTCTGCATTCCCAGGGCTGGCCTCAGTGTCTGCCATATATATTACAGATCTTCCATAAACACATGATAAATGAATTAACAAATTAGTAAATGAATGAAGAGGCCATATCTCCAACACCTCTGAGATACCCATCATGAATTCAGAGGTAAACGTCTTGAGGCACTAGTTCACATGCCCCAGATCCTCTGCTCGGAGTCATTCTGTCCTTCCCTCTTTCTTACCCAGACCCACCATGAACTGGTCCTGGCAAGTCTGGGTGGGGTATGAAGTCACATGGCCTACCTGGATCAAGCCTGGTGGGTAAAGGGTTTTATCCAGGGCACCCTATCTGCCTGGAATTTGAGGTGGGAGTCTTGTCTATAAACGCTTTCTGTGGCCTCCAAAAATCCTTCATTTGGAGGCTTGCTAATGCCTTGACTGTCTTTTCCTTTGCTCTCAGTCCAATATTTAATAAGCTGTCAGAGTCTGTGTCTACTCAAAGCTTGTCCAAGTTACTCTGGGGTACAAAATAACTATATAAATTGCCTCCTGGGAGTTATAAAGAAAGATGGCACCAGGGCCAGACACATCACCGGCCAGCTTTTTGTGTGTCAAAGAAGACGCCTGTGTGGCCTACGAATCCACACACCTGGGCATCCCAGCAGCCAAACCCATTATCTGAATTAGGTTGCAAAACAATCTGCAGAATATGAGGGCTCCTCTCCAACCCGCCAAGGACAATCTCCGCCCCAAAGAAAGAGAGAGAAGGTTTTGGCATGAGGCTTTCTTGGCCTCCCTGGCTGGGTAGAAAGTCACAGTCCGTGGCTGAGGTCAAAATGTATTTAGCCAATAGCAGTTAAACTGAAACATTCTAAGTGAAAATGTCAAACAGCCTGGCTAATCATCTCAACAGGCAAGGAGGGAAGAGAGAGAAACCGAAGGAGAGCAAGCGATCAGCAAGAAAACGCAAAGATCAAACACCCCACACCCACACAAAGCAGTGAGCAGAGGAGAAGGAGCCAGCAGAGAAAACAGCAACAGCAGGAAGGAACCGAAGCAGGGAGAGGGGACAGTGGGGGGGCAGGACCTGGGGAGACTGTGGTGTTCAGTACTGCGCAATCCACAGGACTCCTAGCCAGCATCTTAAAAGAAGGCCTGACCGGGCGCGGTGGCTCACGCCTGTAATCCCAGCAGTTTGGGAGGCTGAAGCAGGCAGATCACCTGAGGTAAGGAGTTTGAGACCAGCCTGGCCAACAGGGTGAAACCCCAGGTCTACTAAAAAAAACTACAAAACTTAGCAGGGGATGGTGGCATGTGCCTCTAATCCCAGCTCCTTGGGAGGCTGAGGCAGGAGAATCTCTTGAACCTAGGAGGCAGAGGTTACAGTGAGCTAAGATCATATAAGTGCATTCCAGCCTGGACAAGAGCAAAACTCCATCTCAAAACTAAAAGAAGGCCTGGCTGTCCTGAGGCCTCCAGCAGACCACTCGCTGGCCAGGACAAGGCCAGTGATTTACTGTATCGGGCCATCTCCTGGCAGAGGCACATGGCCCCAGCAGGACAGTCACTGCAATCCTGGCTCTACCCTTTAAGACACTTCCTGATACTCTGCCCATAAGCAGTGGTGGCTCCGACAGTGAACCTTCCCATCCCAGTACCTCCACTCCCCCTCCAGTGGGCCCCCTCCTATGATCCTGCCTCAGCCTCTTCAGCATCCACTCTTTCTAGTAACAACAGAAAGGCCCAAGTATCTACTTCTAAACCAAAGTTCCAGCATAGGCTGACTTTACCTTTGCCACCTATAACAATAGTCTGTCATGTCCCAGAGAACAAGGACTGTGACTGGTTTTACTCAAACACGTCATCCTCCCCAGGATGTCTGGGTCCTCCCCTAGCCCCAACAGGCCATGCGCATGATGCCTTTGTGCATGTTAGTCCCTCTGCTACAATGCCTATCCCCACCCTTCCTAGTGAATTCCTCCTTGACCCTCACCTCCTCCGTGGAGCCTTCTCCAACTTTTCTATCCAGGATCCCTGCCTTGATTCTAGCCCGTCACACTGTAGCACAGTAGGGATTTACTGAATCAGTCTAGAGTGGGAGCTCTCGCAGCGGGCAAGGACAGAAACTTGGTGCCCTTTGAACCCCAGGCCAAGCTCAGTCAGTGCTTGGCAGATGATGCTCACATACTTGTGGGATAAATGAATGGATGCATGAGCAAATGAGCCTCAAACATCATCGGGTGTCCAGGCTGCTAAGGGGTGAAAACAAAGGCTAAATTATCAAACTGGGGGTTTAAATCAGGTAGGAACCTAGACGGTGTCTAAACTTTAAAAATGATTGCAAGGCCAAGCACAGTGGCTCACACCTGTAATCCTAGAACTTTGGGAGGCCAAGGTGGGTGAATAACTTGAGCCCAGGAGTTTGAGACCAGACTACGCAACATGGCGAAACCCTGTCTCTACAAAAAAGATACAAAAATTAGCCAGCTGTGGTGGTGCACACCTGTAAGCCCGGCTACTCTGGAGACAGATGGAAGGATCACCCGAGCTCAGAAGGTTGAGGGTGCTGTGATTGCACCACTGCACTTTAGCCTGGGCAACAGAGTGAGACCCTGCCTCAGAAAAAAAAAAAAATGACTGCACTTCTATCTGAGAATGATGAAAATCACAACCTAGAGTAGTGAAATATAATAGGAAGAAAATGACATAAAGTTTTACTCAGATGCTGAGATTCATTCAGGGTGGCTGGCAAAATATTAAGGGAAATATTAGGGAGGTTATAAAATATAGTCTCAAACCTCTTGGAAGGCCAAAAGGTTCTAATGAGACTGGCTGAAGGCAGCCAATTCTTATTAGATCATAGGGTGAAGATTAGGGATAACAGAAACTTCCCCAGTTAAGTCTGTTTACCCCACATTCCTTTGTCTCTACTCTGTTTACTCCTGTAAACTTTGTGCTGGATGGCTTTCTCAGAGGGAGGTCAAAGGGGAATTACCCATCAGTGTTTACTTGGGGCCCTGGAACCAAAACCTTTTATTATTCATAAAACCACTCTTTTAACCATGCTAATTATCTACAAGTGTGTTAACTTAGAACCTCTGTTACTAAATTTATACTGAATCAACTTGAGGAGGAACAGGGAGTAGTGGTCAGTTAGCTACAGCGCACTCTGAGAGCAACTGACAACCATCCCTAGCCCACTCAAATCACTGTACTGAGTGTGTGGGTATATTTTATTTATCCGTCACTGAGTCAGGGTCTGTAGGACAGACCTCTGCAGGTGGTGATCAATGTCTCACCCAGAGAACCTTATTCAAGACCAGCTGAAAGCGTAGAGCAGATGGCCTTCAGATGATCGGGATCCCCAGAACCCCACCTAGGTGCTATCTTCTTTGATCATTTTCAGATAATTCCTCCTCCAGCCCTCTGGAGACATTAAAGCCTTTTTCAGCCGAGGTGCCCTAACTTCCCCTCCCAGCAATCACTTATTAGCAGAAGCAGC